AGCATTTTCATCATGGTTGTATTTATTACAAACACATTCTTTCACCATCTATACACATTGAGGCCCTTCTTTTAGGTTAAAATGATCTATCTTAAATTTGTCTTTCTTGAGTTTGGAAATATTATGCGTTTAAATAACTTAAAAGGATAAAAATATAAAAAGCCCTAAAAAATGCGCGCCAATTAAGCGCGCAAAATATTTTTGTGTTTTTAATTCTAATTTCGTCGGAATTGATGAAAACTCCCTAAAATGTGCAATTTATAGAGGAAATTGGCCTACCGTAACAAGAAATTCGCGCAAAGAATTTGAGAATTTTAGCCACTTTCTGAGGATGCATTTGTCAAGGAGTGGAGAAAGATTTTCCAAAGATGGATATTTTCCCCTTGTCCCCCGGTGTTTTAAATTCTAATTTCGTTGGAATTGATCGAAACTCCCTAAAATGTGCAATTTTTAGAGGACATTGGGCCATGTTAACAAGAATGCGCGCGAAATTTGAGGTTTTCAGGCACTTTCAGGGGATGAAAGGGCATTTATAAAGGGGTGGGGAAGATTTTTCAAAGATAGATATTTTTTCCTTGTCCCCCAAGGTCTACGCCATCGGGCAGCTTAGATCAAAGGAGTTATGACAGTTTTTGAAGTGGAGAAGGGGTTGCATGGGTGTTGTGAGTCTGGTCATTATGATATCTTCCTTTTTATTCTTGTCTTTATTTTTCTCTTCCTTTTCTTTTCCTCTTCTTTCTCTTTCCCTCCTTCTCCCCTCTTTCTTTTCTCTTATTACCCAGCCCGGTACGACGGCTTGGTCGGCCCGGAAAACCGTCAGGGGAGGGGCAGATTTCCCCCTGCCCCCACCCCCGCGCCTGTTACGACACTGGCTAACACGCCAGTCACCCCCCACCCGCAATGAAAAATATTTTTCTACGCCACTGCACCTCATTTAGAAAGTGTTGGCCTCATGCAATTTAGTAATCGATTACGAGTGTCACAAAAGTGACTGAGGGGCCCCTGATAAATATTAATTTGATTCAAATTTTCTGTGAATTCTTAAGCCCTTACTTAATTGTTTTGGGCCAATAATTCAGTTTGTATACTGAGCCCGGTTGTCGAATAGTTTTGGGACGGGAATTGACCGTCCAAAAGAAGTGTTATCATGTGATTCCACATAGGTCTATTACAGGCCATTCGCGTGTTAAAACCAGGAATTGCATTGTTTTAATTTGCTTTTTTTTCCCTTTTCTACTGGACCATAATACAAGAACCCATATTAAGGGGACACCTTCGGGACCAAAAAAAAGGGTCCCCTTAATAGGGGTGTCCCCCGAATAGGGGTACCCCTGAAATTGTCCACTAATATGAGTTTTTGGCATGTTTTCATATAGGCCTAACGATATGAAATACAATTCTTCGTAATTTTATTTTTATTAACATAATTAGTTACAGTAGAATTATAACTTATATATAGAGGTGTCCCCTGAATAGGGGTGTCCCAAAGGAGAGGTTCTACTTTACCAAGGCTCAGCTTAGAAGAGAGAGTGTCTTAGTAGGAGGGGACCTTCGGGGCCCCTTTGGACTGGGTGTCTGGACTTCACCCCCCCCCCTAGAGCTGTGGAAACCCAAGAATGTCTGCAATTTTTCAAGATAGCAGAGGCACTTTCACGTATGATGAGAATGCGATGATCTGTGTGTACGAAAAGGAAATAATTGAATCTTCAATGCTTATCTGCTGCATCTGTCAGATACCTTGATAAAAGTTAGGTAATTGAGTGTGATCATAATTGAGAAATGGATTCGGCAGGTGACTGGTCAGTAGCTCCCATCTGTCCATCTGAGCAAGAGGCGCCTCAAGATTAAATTTTCATTGTAATAGGCCTATCCTTCAATTTTTTAATGATCTTCTTGTCAACTAAAGAGAATGGTTGACGTTTATTCATTAAATCAGCCATCGCGTCAAAACTAGAGAGATCATCGAAGAAAAGCTGCTATCAACTGTCAGTAGTTCAGATTTGTCCCAGGATCTGGCCTGGTTTTCAACTCATTTCGATTTGTCAGTGACGCGAGCTCTCCCAATGTTAATTTTGAAAAGTAAACTTTACTTAATGAACTTGGGAAAAACGCTGAACAGTTTACCAATTTTTTAATGAATAGGTTTTATACATGTTTCAACTGTATCTCACAGTCATCTTCAGTAAACTAAAAGGTATAGAATTCCACATCCATTTATATACAATGAATTAATTAGTGGTGTGACCATCTCAAATCAAATACGCAATTAATATTGATGAACTTGGACAATCCATTTTCAATCTCAGCTCAAAAGTTTCATGAATATTAATCACATTATTGTCCACTTAGGTACACCACAGCTATATCACACCACTTTAATTTCAATCTATTCTGCTGTATTCATTGTCCAATTTTACTGAAGATGACTGTGAGATACAGTTGAAACATGTATAAAACCTATTCATTAAAAAATTGGTTCATTGCTTTCAAATTTGTTATAAGTTTGATTTCTCTTCGGTCGTATGGCTATATTATTCAAGATTTGAGTCAACATAGTGATGTGAGCAAAAATGATTGTAGAAGGTTTGAGAAACTTCTAAAGAAATTAACGAAAGCTGAAGCAGATCTGAACTTCCTAAACAATTGTAAACTTTTTTATCATACATACATATAAATATACTTACAAATAAATAAATTCTATATAAAAATGTTACTCACTTAAAGAGATACACTTTAAATTGTACAGTATAATGTTTTATAATATATTATGGCACAAATTGTAAACGGTTGAGGAATCTGCGAGTGTAAAAAAAAAAATGCCCAACTGGGAACGAACCAAGGACTCTCTGCTGTCTTGCAGATGCCTTAACCAAGTTAGGTTTGCTAAGCACCGTAAACACAATATAAACAAATAGATAAATAATAATAACAGTGTTCAAAAATAAGGATGATTTTATAATCGTGTCAAGAATATAATAGCCTGTCAACCTAAAACGTCTCTGCCGGGATTCGAACCTGCAACTTCTCGGCCTTCAAGGCGGGTATGGTGTATGTCCGAAGCCTCCATAAGCAAATATTATCATGAAACACCTCAACAAGTTTTTTGCTAATGTATGTACAGTAGGATGAGCTTCCATTATGCAGATTTTTACAAAACTCCTAACAAGTCAATTTTACAAAGGTTTCGGGATTATTTCAAATAAACCTACAGTACAGTAACCTTTTTTTTTGTATCCCTATCCCATACGGCGGATAAAGAACCCATGAATTTTACAAAGAGACACAAAAGTAGCCGTGCGTTGTCGTATTGCAAATTTTTGGACGCTTGCCTAACCTTGTTCACTCACAAGAAACTGTTTGGAAACTTCCCAAAAACCCCAACCACAAATCGAATGTTACTATTAAAGGACATGACTCAATCGATGTATCGAATAATTAATCATGTCCAGATTCAAGTAATCATCATCAATTGGTTGTTGTCTATCGACCCTTCCTGCATGGTCATGAGGAGGCCTCTGGGTGAGGGCATTGTATTTGGCAAGATTTTTTTTTAAATTTAATAATAATAATAATAATAATAATAATAATAATAATAATAATAATAATAATAATAATAATAATAATAATAACAACAACATTTGCATTTATGAGAATTTTATTAAATAAATAAATAACTTTTAAAGACAAGATAATAGCAATAGGCCTATAATGAATACATACAGTATAAGCTAATTCTATTATGAATATGTTAATGATTTATTTTTTATATTGGTTTGATAGTTTGATAAGATTGTTATTGCTCCATTAGGAGTAACATTGTAGTATAAATTCAACCATTACTCGTGCTATTTTATTCTTATTTATTATAAAATGTATGTTTATTTTCTACTGTATTTTTAAATGATCCAACCATCGCTGTGTCGTACTATGTAACCTTGTATCACACGTCCAGATATATTATACTGTACTTAGCAACATTACTACCAAACATTACTACCGATTGGAACTGTACCTCACAACTCGAATAATCTAATCATTGAAACCAACACGTCGCAAATTTCGACATGACTGGAGATAAATTTCACATTATTGCATGATGCGTCTAGGGATCCATTATATTTTGTAAATATTTATACAGTAGCCTCTTGACATACATTCACCGATGATCTTGTAGCATTGGGTTATAAAATGTTAATCGTTGATACCCCAGCAGGTTTTATTAAACGTTATGATACCTCGCAATTAACACATTGACCAATCATAATGGATCACTTATTTTCTATAACCAATCATTACATTCGTTTCAAAGCCGATTTGGCATCCGCCGAGGTCAATTTATGTATAGAGAATTAAATTGTATTGTTATAGACCAAGTGCCTATTTCTTTTGGAATACTTATATTTTGGACGAAAAAACAAATTAAGGAATTGACTAAATTACATACAGAGTGAGTATCTTGTTTTGTCTATATATGTTTGAATTCCCATCTTTATAAATATATGTTTAAAAATGAATGCTGATCAAAAGCATATTCTTGGTACTTAGTATTGCTTTCTATTTACGAAAGTACAGTCGTTGTGGTGTCGAAGTAGTGGTCAAATGACAAAAATTTGTACGAAACTCTGGGTAAATTTGACCTTTTGTTTGAAATATTTGATCTTGTGAATCGATGGTATTCTACTTTAGGATCAATTGTGAAGTTTGAGTAGGTGAAATGGTATAAAGTATCGTTTTCACCTGCCTACTTTGTGATATTGGTTGGTGGGTAAGTCACTTGAAGTTTACGGGGAGAGCAAAACAATCAGAGCAGCCATTTTAAAAATGGCTGCTGCCAATAGAATAAATTTGACAGGGACAAGCTCTGTGTTGTGAGTAGGTTACGGCGAGTTAATATTTGACTCATATTAATCTATATTACGATTGCTGAAGTCTTGGACTAGCTGATCATGTAGGAAATATTTGTATACAGAAATTGTATTTTTTTTAGCCACCAACCATAATGACATCATGTGGAATGTATGTAAATGTCCTAGGCTAGGCCTAGGCTTTAGCCTAGGCAGGACAATAATGCCTGTTGATATTTTTAGGGCCTAGCCTTGGCGGCTGCCTGTGCTGTATGGTTTCTGTATATTGGGCCTAGCCTAGGCCTACACAATGAGTTGAAGTAATTTTTATGATAAGGACAGCAATACTATAAAATAAAATGATTGATTAAAATAAATTAAAGCATGGATTGAGGTAATGCTCTGCAGCATGATGTTGTTTATAAATAAACTAAATAAATTTAGGCCTAACTAATGGCAACCGATGAATGTAACACTAACCCAATTAGTGAGATGATTGATTAGCAGATATTTTTTTAATTGATCTTAATTTTTACTGTAAATAATAGTGGAGTCAGTGGTGGCATAAATACAATAATTACTATGTATTTGTTTATAATTATTATATTATAGAGGGATACTGTTTGTCTGTTGAGTAGGGAGACATACCTGTATGTAAACTTTAATTACAGCTTAGTTCACAACCATAAAATAATAAATAAAAATATGGATTATTTTTATTTATGAAAATTGACACTGTCATACTGTACCATATGTGGATTATCTGATCAGACACTATTTTTGTTGAAACTAAAGATTTCCAATAATAAAGCTTTTTTTAAAATTTGTGCCAACACCAGTGTAAATTGCCTTGTTAACTTGTATTGTTTTTCTTCCGGCAGTTGATGGCTCAAATTAATTTGGGCTTCTCGGATCCGAAAATATGTAGTGATTTTGTCAACATACACTGGGAATATACCAACATTATTGAAATTATTTATCCTGTTGAAAATTAACATCCCTTCTTCCTTGTTCCCCTCCCCCACTTCAAAAATTTTATTTTGCTATTTTTGATTCTGATGATATTATTATGCTATTTAAATTGCATCGTTGTTTATTTTGGTGATCTAATTCAATTACAATATTAGTCATTAAGTTTGTATCCTGTTCCTAGGTAATTAATTCCTTTGCTTGCCCAAAATAAAGATGCTCGGTCATCCAACAGTGATAATTCTTAATCAATAATATAATTAATTATTAGACATATATATTAAGTGGGTTTTTAAAAGCATGTTTAGAGCTGTAAAAAGTAATTTTTTTTTTTTTTTGCTAGACCAAGGTCTAGTTTTGCCAATATAACTGCTCGCCTTTATATATCAGCTGTTGAATATTGGTCTAGTTTTAATGTATTTTTTGCTAGCCCAGCCCTAAAATACTCACGTCCCTAACTCAGGACCACTAACTTTTACAGCCCTGATGTTAGTTGTTTACTTTTATATGATAATGTTTAATTCTTTTTTTTAAATTTTTTTTTTAAAGATTTGCAGACAAGTGATGTAAACTAGACCGAGAGAGCTGGAATCTTGTCAATGTGAACTTTGACGGACATCCCAACCTCAACATTTTTATCCTTTTGGATTATTATGGATAGTGAGGATAAATACCAACAACCATAATGGCGAAAGAAAGTACTCAGTGCTTAGCAAACGCCAAGTACACTCAGTGGATATTGGAGGCCATCCGCAAAATACGGAAACAGAAACAGCGTCCAAACCAGGAACGTATCTGTAATAATCTGGTCTCAGGCCATGGACTAAGTCGTGAGAAGACTTACGAACAACTTGAATTGTCAGTCAAAGACGGCAATGTTTTGAAAGTGCTCAACAAGGGTATTGCGTCGTACCGGGATCCAGAAGGGACCCGGAGTATGCGTGGTGCAAGCACACGAACTGTTAATAAAAGTACAGACCTTGTCAAAGTCATAAAAGCAGCAATAAAGGAACTTGGCGAAGGCGGTTCCACTTTTAAAGAGATTGAAAAATACATCTTACAGTCAAGGCGTATTGAAGTTGGAAGTCATTCTGAACTTAGTACTAAACTTAGAATTGCTATTAAAAGGGCTGTAGCCTCAGGCAGGCTTGTGAAATTTGGCAGAAACTTTCGTCTACCGGATGATGGGGAAACAAGCAGTTATGCCACTTCATCAACTTCCTCTAGTCCTCCATTTGAAAAGGTACATATGATGTTCAGAAAAGAAACGTGTGTACACTAGCCATATGTCAGAAATTTAATCAGAAGGACTATGAAAATCATGTGAACTACAAGAAGACTATTGAAAGTTTCAATGGTTACATCCAAACAAATAGCAAATACCCAATATGTATTTCACACAACATGGCAGTATCATGCTAGTCCCCACTGTACCATTTTGCTGGCATAAGTTGGGCTAACATTTTGCTGCATCACAACCCTTTAGTATAATTTAATTCAGCATCAATAATCAATAGTGCCCAATGGACAGTTAAATAGCCACATAGCCACAAGCAGATCTCATTGACCCTTTACAAAATATAGATCATATAAGTAAATTATTTCTGGCTCATAAGTAAAATAATCCAGACTCAGCTTAAATAAGCCATATAGTAGTTTTAACTGCACGTGTCTATATTGTAGGTCAAGTCACACATTTATTTCGCGGCATGTACCTTCACACGAATGCAATGTAGAAGGAAACACTTTTCATAGTGTGTCCCATGGAATAACCAAATTGTGTGAATCAAATATTGGAGTGGTTTTCAGCCTCTTAAAAAGACTTTGCTGATAAAAGCATCATATTATTTTATTTAATCAGGAGGGCCCTGAATATCTGCTGACCTATGATATGCTAGAAGGGTTCCTCTATGAAATATAATATATAAAATATGGTTAAATCTTGCAGCAGAAAAAAGTGTTAAAAACAAACGGTTAATTGTATACCTTAGTCATTATTACATCTCAGATTGTTTGTCATGGTAGACATTATTTTAAAATTTAAATATTAATTTTTTTCAGGATGACAACCAGGTTGTTGCTACGCCTGAAGCATTTTGTAGGATTTGTGAGAAGGGTCCTGAAGAAAATGTATCTGGTGTACCTGAAGCCCATATCTCATGCACAGATTGTGGCTTTAGTGGTAAGTCCCAACAACAATGTTATGTTTTCTCACAATTTATCTTTGCCTCCGTATCATTTCGCTCATTAAAAATGGTCTAAACATATTAAAAGTGAGGTAAAACGTCCATTTTACGAATTTTGATTTCACGAATGGTCTTTGCCCTGATGGCGTCATCATCGACCAATTATTACCGTAAAAAAAAGTCTGATTGCGCACATTTTACAAAGTGGTAATGTATATTTGTCTTCATAAAATCAAGTTAGTTGTATTTATTTATTAATAGTTCGTTCTTTTCTATTTCTTGTATAATAATCACTATATTAATGTAATAAACCTAACCAGAACAACGAACTACCAACGCAAGTGTTGTCGGATTAAGCGCACATGTTTACGATGACGAATGAGAGTGTTGGGATTAGCACCTTATTGACATCATGAATGCTAGATATGATCGTGAAATGCATGTAAACAACACAATTCGGCAATCTAGAAAGAATATGATAGGTCCATAAAACGTACAGATGTTTGAATAAGAGTTAAAAATTTTTAAGTGGAAGAATGCCAGCGATTAAAATAATTTGGTTTTTATCGAAGGTAAATTCAGCTAGTCTCTAGCGCGTTAAACCACGCTGCTGCATTGTCTGTTCGTGCTAGGCCTGGCTGCTGTCAGGCTATCAGCGCTCAATGGCAGGGGATAGCTAGGCCTAGGTATTGAAAACTGACACCCGATCTAGTTTACAAATTTTCAATTTACGAACACCCCTTGGTACCAAGGGGTACTTAAAATGGATGTTTATTGTATCAGTGGTGCCACCAATGATTCATCACAAAGGGGGTTGAAGGTTCCTGACAGTAGGGTCCACACCAACCATTGTGTGGCTGAGGTGAGCATGTTGTCCAGAAATGGCATTGAATATATAGGCTCTCTGTGGCCAAAGCCTAGTGCCCCTCTTAGTAATAAATAGCACTCTCGTGTTACAGCCTTGTCATTACATCGGTGCACTTAGAAAACAGCCAAAACTAGCAAATGTAAACAATGAAATCCCAGGTTTTTAACTCACAAATGTTGTATGTGGACCAACATTACCACACTCCTTTTATACAGTATCAATTCCCAATCAAAAGTGAATACACAGCCAGGCTTCACTACAATTTCTTTTTTTTTTTAAACAGTCCAAAATATTTCAGTAAAGGGCTATGAGAAATCGCAGAGAATTGAAATGAAATTAGGCAACGGTATTGTTTGGTAAATTATGCTTTGTAGGACCCCATAGGCATTTTCACAACGCTCATAAAATTGACTTCTGAAATGCATGGGTCCCCAATCACTTTGTCGCCCATAGTTTTTATGACTCGTCAATAGGCTGTTGCCCAAGAATACAAACTATATCTAATACCTGGTGTCTCATAAAAAGTTTGGTTTTGTTTGATGTGTTTGCAGCTGATACCTCTCGTGTGCAAGATGCTCTTAGGCTTGGAAGAGGTTTATGGGAATTGAACCTCGGAATTTGAGACAGGAAACCATGCATTATGACCAGCAAACTACATTGCCATTGCATTTTTTTTTTTTGCTATATAACATTAACAGGTGTTATCCACATTTGTTGCAAAACTCATGCTGACTCAGTTATCAGTTGTTCTATTTTGAAAAAGCCTATTGATGTTTAATAATAGTAAGAGATAATCATTATGTTGTTGTGGTTATTTCTAAATTCAGAGTGGTGTTCATCATTAATCAGTAAATATGAAATTCACTTTGGTCCTCCGAGCAAATTGTTTGTCCATTCTGGTCTTTGCAAACAATATCAAAATTTTCTTATTGGTCATTCATCTGTTTTAAAATTGGCAAAAAAAAAAAAAATTTCTCATTTTTAACTATCAATTGAAAAAGTTAATGATATAAATTGGTATTGTGCTCTCTACCCTAACCCAGAAAATATCTATTTTAAAACCATATTCAATTACAAACTTATTGACATACAAAAGTACTGTTTATGTTTGGAAGTGTTTATTTTTAAATTGTCTTTTAAAATTTTATTCAAATGTTTTGTTTATGTAATGATAAAATATAAGGTGGAATGCAGTTGTCAAGGAAATCAATTAAATTATTGTAATATAGGACATTAATTTATGAAGAGGAAGTAATGGATTATGTAAAGCATCAAGTACGTATTCAATATCCGTCATTGGCAAATTATAGGTCTAGTTGATTATTGACTGGTAGTTAATATGATAACACAGAAGTCAATCGTTAAATGGTGAATTGTAGGTCTTATCTAGTATCTATGTCGAAGAGAAACTGTTATAATTTATCATAATAATTGTACCTTAATAGGAAATGGTAGGTCAAGTTATTGTTAAGGTAAATTATAAGTATACAATAGAGCGTAATCAATGCTGTTAATACCTTGTGGTAGACTATATAGTATGCTACAGTAATACCACAAGTAATGCATCGTTAAGACTTTTGTCCGACCGTTGGCCAACAAATCAACTCCGCTTTGTGAGAGCGTTAGACGATGCGTCGCCGTGTGTTGATTGTCGGTAGTTGGCAGTCTGATCCGTTGCGCTCGCATTGTGGCTTTGCGTTTTCCATAGAATCATTTCAGCCTATGACCTCCGGCCGTAGTGAGTGCCCAGCTTATGGTACAATACATTGTTGGACAGTATGGTGAGTGTATCACCCAGTGGTAGTACATAACCAATGTATCTCACAGTTTCTTGTTTTGGCAATAACAATAAAGACATTGTATCTTGGAACCAATTTCAAGTCCCTGGAAAATTATACAGTAGTACTGACTGATACAGTTATTTATATGTTGAGTGTACAGTACAATATACTGTAACCAATTTCATCAAGTTCATGGTAAATAATAGGTCTAGTGGATAACTAATACAATCAGTTGTAAATCGTACGTCTAGTGTACATAACCAGCTGTCAAGTCCATGGTAAATTATAGATCAGGTGGAAACCAATACCATCAGTGGTAAATTAATGGTTTTATTGAAGTACCATAAGTAATGGTGAATTGTAGGCAGTCATTCATGACCACTATCACCAGTTAATAATTAAGGCTATAAGTCTAGTGAACTTATAATTAATTAAGTAGAGTATCTACTGTACACTATTTGTAGAATGATAAGTGATCAGTCAACAGTCTAGAGACTATTGTTATATCTACCATACAGAATGTTACTGGTTTAAAAGTTCTCATGACTTTTAATTCGTAAGTACATGCTGTGGAGCATGGAGTCAAACAAGCTTCTGTCAGAAATATGTCAACCCACAACAGAGGGACTGCCAACAAAAGGTCACATGATTAAAACATTTTAAATTTCTGTCTTCCTTGGAAATTTTAAGTACCCACCTTTATGACATTTGCCTTAGGGATTAATGTGCTACAAACTTGGTGACAATTTACAGTATGTTACAGTATTTCAAAGTTGTTTTTAAAAGTTAGTGGCAATGCTAAAGTAAGACAGTCTAATACCTATATCATACTTATAGTAATTTACAAATCGTTGTCACATTATGGAACTGAAATTGGATAATTTTTTAGTGAATAAGTCTTGGTTGGTTGGATTAACATGTTCATTTGTATAATCAAAGTTATTCGTACGATCAGATATCGATAAAATCGACATGTTTTTGGATGTACTGTGACTATTTAAATCAAGCCAAGAGTCCAATGTTTTTGATCAAGGCTGTAGACTACTGTATAGTACTGTATCTGGCTCTGAAAGCCACCTGCTTGGATCTGCTGGGAAGTTTAATATGTACCTGTAGACCTGCTAATAAATTTTAGAATCCATTTTCCCTCATAAAAAGAGCTTACAAAGGGCGAATATAGTATATCATAATACTACAGGAATATCGATAGGAAATCTACTAAGAAGGTCACAGCTTGACACAATGCAGTATGGTTGATCGCTGTAGTTTACCCGCAAGCCCTGTTGTACCGCAAAGTTTGGCGTCTTGGATTTTTGGAGGAATTTAGCAAATACTGATTCAGGGCACAATTTAATTGAGTTAGCCAGAACGATTATTGCCTCAATCGTAAATATCCATGTGCCCATCCATAGTCTTTGGGCTATCATGATGGTCGTCATAAAATTAAAGTGGAAGGTCATTAAACATTTGGTTACTATCTGCTTGATGATTCAATGGGAAGTAACATCTAACATCTTCATGTAAAAGGTCAGTGACCTCAACAAAGAAATGTTCTTAATGATATGAAAGCTGTTGACCATATTGCAATTGAATGGTTTGGTATGATAAAATTTGAAAAGTCATTGCCTTCAGCAGATACTGTACTTTCACAACTATTTAGTTCGTTTATTAAATGCTATTGACCTGTAATTTTTCTTTGTTTGCAATCAGTCTGATATTTATGTCAGATGTCATAGTTCTTTTTAAAATCGTCCTTTGACATTTTTGAATATTTTAAAATTATGTGTAGTTCTAGGTTCAAGGAGGGAGGAAGAATGGCAGAAAATGGAGAAATGAGCTCACTACACTTTTGAATGCACTTTTAAGTGCATAATAGATTCTATTAATATTATATAATGACTATCAACTGCTGATACTTCTATTGTGGGTACAGTGTGTTCATAAGTATTTTTTATTTTAAGATGGACTTTGCCATTCTGATTCTCTGATAAAGAAACCTAATTCATATTTTATTTAATCTAAATGAATACAAATCCTTGACATTAAAAAGCAAACTGATAAAAAAGCACTTTGCTGGATGCTAAGTACATTCCAACTACCGCCCAATTTAGACATCCAGTCAGTATTCAGAAATATGTTGAGCCGATTAATCAGTCCCAGACAGTGTTTGAGCATGTCAATGATCCTTCAGCTTCCAATAGAAACTACTTTATAAGTTGTCATTAAAATACACAACCATGTTGACTAAAATTTATTTTTTAATTAAGTATATAATTTTAAGATAACCAGTTTAAAGTTCAACATTGTTCAAGCATTCCTTCAACTTTTTTTAAGAACGTTAGGGAGGCCTACTGTATAGTGGACATGTATTATCTCAACCTACAGTGTATGATTTGATGACAGTTATTCTCTATTTTGTATTTATTCACTCAGTTAAAAAAATTAGTCGCAAAACTGTAATGGTGACATTTTAGGATACAACTTAATTTGAAATGGCCAGTTTAGAGTTTGAGCCAAAAGAGAACAAGCCTGTTTTGATGGTTGAATTAAGAGTCTCAATTAAAGAGTTGTTCCAACTTGATCAAGTCATCCATTCAAACAGCTTACAACAAGAGTTAACATCAAACATTGTGTGCACGAGTTGTTTTGATGGGTTCATTAAACAAAGCTGGGCACTCGCTACTTCCGACAATAGTCTGCCGACAGGATTCTACGGAGAAAGCCACAACGCGTGCGCAACAGATCATTTTTAATGACCATCCATTCATACTGTCGAGAATCAGCAGACAGCGTTTTGTCATCTAGCGCTCATAGATAGAACTTGGATTCGTTGTACGACTGTCGTATGTGGTCAGCGAGTGCCTGGCTTAAGACTAACAGCAAGTAGAGAGTTGTCCAATTTTTATATAAAAAAAGAAACCCTATAAAGGCAGGTTTCAACTTCTTACATATTAATTATTGTTGTTTTGAGGAAACAAAGCTTAGAAGTGAAATTAAAGATTTAAAATGTTGTTTTCTACAGGACACCCTTCATGTCTCAAGTTTTCTGAAGAGGTTAGCAAGGCAATCCGTCTGACCAGATGGCAGTGCAGCAATTGTAAAGTATGTGCAATTTGTAAACAGAGAGGGAATACGGTAAGTTATTAAACAAACTTATTTGCTTACAATGAGAGGACGTGTGGTAAAACGTTGTGATGGCACTTGACAACATAGAGATGTTGATTTTTCTGTAAAAATAAAATACAAAATATTAGCATTATTATTTTAAGAATGAATATAAATTGAACAAGATAATTTGAGATTACAAACCCAGGCCCTGTTGCACCATATCTATACTGAAAAATTAATTTTAAAAAATTAATTTAATCGCACGCTGGCTGCACTGCTTCATCATGGGCCTCGCGTGGAAAACCCATCAATCGATCCACGTGAGTCCTTTTCCCCAGCCACACAAGGCCAAAAGATCTGCTCGAGTTGGCGAAATAAAATATATAAATAACATTCTAAAATCTGCATCTTCCGATCAGCACCAAATTTGAAGAAGACCGAGATACATGTAATTGCCAATGTATGAAAATCTGAAGTAAATCGGTCAAGTAGTTTTTGAGTATGCAGTTAAGTTTTTACAAAGGGTACAAGGTGTGTTTTGAGCTTCGGTTTTGGGATAGTAAATCTTCGCCTATCAATTTCAAGGGTGTGCGCTCTAACTCGCAGTGTAGTGGAATATAATTTTTTAAAGCGAAAGAGGCTTTATATGTGCTATAGGATCTTAAATTTGGTTGAAAAAATTTAATGAAGGTTAAGCCATTGGTCATTGTAAACACTATAGTTTTGAGCAGATGAATAAATCGAAGTTTTCATTATTCAGAGTTAACGGTCTTTGCGAAATATGAGGTGCTTCAATGATTTTTAATATATTTCTATTTCCGCTGGACCAGGTAAAATTATTTAAATTACTGTGCTGTTCATCCAATATGGTTTATGGTATTAACTACAATTATCACTCTTGAGACTACCATTAACAAGCAACAACAGAATGATAGGTTGGCTAGCCCAGTTTAGTGATTTATTGAAATTTTTGTAATTATAAGCTTTAAATCATGTATTTGATTTTGGTGAATTCGACAAATACTTTTGAAATATAGTATGAATTTTTAGTTGGTTGAGTTACTAATAAATAATGGAGTATACTTCAATAATTTATGCTGTTGAAAGGAATTCTTCATTTTAATTAGGTTTCACAATGATGTGCAAGAGAATGACTAATTCAGATTCATTGCATGATGACTAAGCAACCCTCATTCAGTATCCATATCTCATATGTTTAAAAAAAGATTAAGACTAATTGTCGTTGTCTATTCAATATGAACCATAAAGTCTGAGCATAAAAATTAGATATTAAAAATTCTGAATTTAACATTTGATTAAATACATATTTATATTGTATAGAAAAAAAAATGAATACTTTAATACCATCATGAATAATTGAAGGGATAAAAATTATTCATAAAAATGAATAGGATATGTCTGTATTCTAATTGTAAGTATTTTCATTCCATAATTTGATGTTTCTATATTTGATATTTAATATAAAAATACCAATTTCCATGCAAGAATACAGTAGATTGTAACATGTAATTTTTCTTTCAGGTATCTCAACCATGACTTGATATTTCATGATTGTTGAAACAAGATCATTAATGCATTTTTTTTTCTATCAATGTATCACCCAATTAAATCGCCTGATCCTGTTTGCATTGTCCAATCAAATTATCATGTTTTTCCCAATGAGTATGGAGCTATTCCAAGCAAACTAGCCAAGTGCACTATCCCGTGCTCTTTGTGTGTAGCTGTTCATTTATAATTAAATGTATGCATGATGGTTAGTGTAGGATCAACCAAGGTGTAAAAGCTGTCATGTTATGTATTCTTAATGATAGGGGTTGTCTCTAGGGAAGATATGACATAGTGGATGCTGTGGATGAATGCATTGTAATTTTACTCTATTAATCCTACAATATAATTACATGACACACACGCAAGTGAAAAACAATACTCTAAAATGTAAACCTCCAATGTAATTGATTAATAGAAAGTCAGTGTATCATGTTACAGTATTTCCATTTTATTGGACCAAATAAATTTAATCTTGAATCTTAATCATAGATACTGGTGGAACTTACTTACCCTAAATCGTGGGAGTCTCCCGTAAATCGAGACGGCCTGCCGAAAGCAAGCACAAATAGTCTCCCGTATATAGTACCTTCTCCCACATGTATTGAAATACACGCCATCGTGTTGGGACTCAATATTTCGACATTAATTATGTCATCATCAGGAATTCATAATATTTTACTACTTTATTATCAAATTTGTCTCATGAAAGCAGACGTTTAGAAAGTCATTTAACCAGATCTCCTTGGCTTCTTCCAACTTAGAACCTCGGGCTTTACTGTAGTGTGGCTGAGGATTTGAGCTTTAGTGAGTCTGAGGATTTGAGGTGGTCATATACAGTAGTACTTCGCAATTCTATGCTTCTACACTTCAAATTATTACTTTTGGTGATTGAACACCATAGAACACATACTCATAGAGTAGTATTCCATAATTTTGTAGCTAGTGAACTAGGGCATTGACAACCAGGTGGAGAAGCCAACATGGATGTGCCTTTTCCGAGGACAAAAACATGTATGTGGTCAGCTTCAACACAAATTTCTGATCTTTCGATTAGAAACACAAAGCATTATAGACCTACATGCTTCCACACGTACAGTACATTAAAAGTAAATTCAGAAATTAAAGGTTACAAAGAAAAACAACCAACAGTACAAAGATGTCTGCATGAACAATCCTATATCAAAACTGACCTAATCAAGATAAAAAAAAGTTCAATTTTATATTCAAAGGTGGTTTTTAAAGTGATGCTTTTAAGGCATTTGATTTAATTTGATATGTGACTTGATAGCTAATATAAGATTTTGAGTGGTTTGTCGTTTTGATTACTCTACTTGTTTTTCACAGGATCTCATATCATGTAACTTCTGTGACAGAGGCTATCACACAAACTGTGTCAAGCTCAAGAAAGTACCAAAAGGTAATTTACATTTATTGATTTTTTTCAGTGCATGCTAAGACATTATGTCAGTATTATTACACTGATTGATTAAATGCACAGTAATATGACAATTACCTAAACTAAAACTGAAACGCTGGTATTAAATCAAAACCATGACATTTTAAAAAGAGATTGCTCATTTTGAGTTACTGCAAAGCATATGCAAGGGATAAACCAGGGCAGCTTTTCAGAGTACTGTTTCTTAAATTTTAAATTATTTTATCAAATGATAGTGCTACAAAGTGAGATTGCAATGCAGGTTAAATTAACTAAGCACAGCACTGCAATATAATAAGCAAAGTATAGGTTACAATGCAGGTGCACCATATGAATGTATACTTAATGCAACTTAGGTACAATATACTAAGTACATTGTCAATGTCTTCAACCAAGTGTGCATTGCAATAAAATTGAACTATGTATATTTGCAATGGATGGAGAATAAACCAAGTTTAGGTTGCAGTCCAGATTGGATAAACTTAGATAAGTTGCAATGTGGAGAAAATAAACAATTTTGTTGCATTGTTCACTAAATTACAATGTAGATGGAATGGAAACAAAAATGTAAGCAGGTGAAATGTAGAAGTATATACTACAGTATAAGTTGCAAATACAGGTGGTGTAAATCAATTGTAGGTTTAATCCAAGTGGCATAAAATGAATTTAAGTTGCAAATACAGGTGGAATTTTATAAAAAGTGTACTGTAGGTTGCAATGCAGGTGGAATAAACCAAGTGAAGGTTGAAATGCAATGCTAAATAAGTGTAAGTTGCCTTGCTTAGATTGTTTATATCAGGCTACGATGTATCTATGAAGCCTGCACGCAGGTAAAATTGCAGTAGTTTGTGGCGGTACTGTAGGTTGAAATACAGGTGGCATGAATTGAGTGTATGTTGCAATACATATGAATTATGTATAAGTCACAGTGCAGGTGTTATAAACCATGTGCAAGATATTTCAATGCAAGTAGATTTCTAAAATTTGTGCATGTTGCAATGCAGGTGGAATACCAAGTATAAACGTATAAGCTGCAGTGCAGGTGAGTAAACCAGGTGTGCAGTGCAGATGGCATAAACCAAGTAGACTCAAATGCAGTTGAATAGGTTGCAACCAAAGTTAAATGTGCAGTGTACATTGCAGTGCAGAATATACCAAGTGTAGATTGCATTGCAGGTGCAATACAATTGGAGTTCACATACTGTACAGGATTTGTACAACCAGGATTTTTACCATTTTGATACATTATTGTTTTTCTGACCTCATTACAACTGGTTATAACTCGCATTTTTTTAGTACTGTAGTACATGGCATGCTACAGAACAAGCATGTTGTTATGAGGTAGAGGGCGTGTGTCAAAGAATCTGAAAAGAAACAGAATTTCTCATTTTAAGAACGAAAGGTTTATTGACAATTTTATATTGGGTATACATTACATCATTGAAATAAAGATAATCACTTACTGGTGTATTGTTTTTGGTAGAGAAAATGAAAAGAAATATATGAATTTTTTGGCACTCGTAATATTGCGTAGATTTTATTGCGTTGTGATTGCTCCGGAGCCGATGCCCTGGGAAATTCTAAGATAAGTAATTGCGCCGCCAACGTTCGTCTTTTTTTTAATCTTTTTTTTTTTATCTACTGTATTTATGGGAGAATTGTCAATTTGTAGCTGAGATTGAAATCGTGCATGTGTCAAATAATATTTCATGCATTGGTTACCCTCAGCATTGCATTAAGAATGTAATCTTATTCAACATAGTCTCATAATGTGCAGAGTAGTGCATCTCAGATGGCTGGCTGATCATTACTCTCTTGGGGGTTCTTGGCACTTGACGCCTACTTAAGGCTCTAATATTGCTTTGCATATTGTTGAGGAATGTGTTGTAGGAATTATGAGTTAAAGAATGCTTTTTAGAACATGGTTAACAGAAGAAAAATGTAAAGTGTTATTACAATTTTAGTATCGTTATTTATAAAATGTGAAAATGATAGATATGATTAATAGTGATAAATGAAAATGGTTATAATTAGGATTTGATTATAAAATAATTTTTACAATGAGGAATCCTATCAGGGTGTGGGAAAGACTGCCTTATTTGGAATTGTCAGACAAAGAAGCTAAAAACAAAAAAACTCTCAAAACATACAAATGATTACATAAATTATGCCATCTGAAAACTGTTAAGCAAAAGATTTTTAATGTTTAAAAAAAAAAATAAAATAATGTTTTGGCAATGTCTAAGGCTAAATTAATGGTCTTCTGATTACCTTAAATTTTTTCTTTCCTTGATGCAAAAATGAGATATAGTAGGTGAAATTATTTTGGCATTACATTTGGTGTTGTATTTTTGGAAGATTGTCATGTTTTTAATATTTTTCTCAAGGAGACATCTATATTAATACATCAAAACATTGCTGTAGAACAATTGAACTTAACCAACCATCATCCAATTGAACTTAACCTAACCATTATCAATTGATGATGACATATTGTACCTACCTCCTTAAAAAAAGTGCTTAAATTGAAGGGCAGGCTGATTAATTTGTATTGTGGTATGGTGATATTGATTAAAAACATTTACAGTAACCTGGCAACAAGTGCGTACGTGTAGATGTACATTAGGACCAAAGATCTTAATAAGAAGATAGAGCTTTCTGCGAATTTAAGTGCAACAAATGAAAGCGCCGATGTTCAGAAGAAGCATACAGTAGAAAGTAATGGTTTTTGAGAGAGGGCATCCTTGTTGTTACCATGGTTGCTACAGAATTTGGACGCATAAATCGTGAGATGCGCTATCTTTAGTTTGATGTCAAAGTTAAAAAGTAAATTGTTTAAGCTAGAGAACATCCTATACTGCTTTGTTACAGCATTTGCTAGCAGAAATCAAAGAGTGAGCTATCATGTTATTTTAAGATCTTTGATTAGCACCTACCCTTCCCAGTCCTATCCTATCACATGCATTGAACTCTTTTGATTGGTCAGACCATTGGCTTATCTAGGGGAAGGCCCGGGGAACACTCTCCTACCCGTATAAGAGACAGGTACATTGCAGTGCAGAATATACCAAGTGTAGATTGCACAGTCAAGTAGTTAAAAATTGCCTAAAATCACCATATTTTGCAAATTAGCTCCCCTCAACTGATCATCAAGGCCCCCTCCCCACTTCACCTTCGCGCCCCTATCAACACCCCCATTTGAAGATTTCTAGATACGCCACTGGGTCAGACTAACCATTTTCCTCGTTTTGAACAAACATACCCAGGAAGAATAACTTTTTTTTTTTTTAGAGCAGATTAAGCCGAGTGGCGGTTATGGGCAATAGGACAATTTCAGTAGAACCTGCTTGGGTATTTAAATCCAAAGAGCGAACAGTGTTTTGATTTTGCTGAGGCAATTACTGTACCCTTCGTTTTACTCACAATGGTTCCAATGCAAACATGCCTTAAGTAGTGGATTTAGCAATTTACACTGAGGTGGTACAATAGTATGCTTGAATGAACAGTAGTATTTTATGATGTTTGTACTTGGCTTTGTTGATTGGTTCTCATTTCTGAATAACAATCAGCTGTGAATATGTTAATTCCAAATAAGGAAAAGAGCCAATAGTTTAATATAACCAGATTGTAACTAAATATCTTGCCTTAAAGGAGGAAGTCCCATACACATAGTGAAAATGATTGATGTAGTTTAAACTCCAGGTATTATAATATTGATATTGTTTCTTAATGTTAAAAATCTCTCTAGTGTGTCTGTTATAATTTAAATTATTAAAATTCCAATGGTATTTTTAAATGTGTATTTAAAATGCAATTATATGCGCATTTTTTTTACTATATTTTTTTTCTTTGACATTGGTGTCAAACAGATTTAGGCCTCCCTATGAATTCAGTCCTCAGTTGGAAATCTAGTGAATCCCTAGGTAATTCGGGTTGGAAAGTGCCAAATTCACTGCAATATAATTACCTGTATGTCATGTCCAGTGGGATTTTGTAACACTGTCAGCAGAATAAATGTTTGAAATAATATTCCTCCTTGCATTTTACCATCACAATGTAAATAATAACACAGCTAACAATTTTACGTTACAAGAACGTTATAATAACGTTACAGTTTGGTGATAAAAACGTTATTTTGTAGAACCATATGTACGTACATATAACCTAATTTCACAGCATTTGAACGTTCTTACAACGTTGTGCGAACGTTATTTTGTTAAATACCTAACTTCAACATTTGCGAATGTTATAAGTACAATTTTATGGACATTTGAAGAGTAAATTATGCTATTTGTGGTGAGCTAAATAACCCAAATAAATGTTTTAATTTCTTAATAATTTTTTGTAATCATTCTTTGAGTTGGAACAGTTGTTAATATCAGTGACAGTAATGCTAGTGTGATATTTGTTTAACTTTAAATCAAACATATTTCATTAAATTTAGTAAACAGTGTAAATTGCTTTGAATACTATCTTATTGGAAATCAATAATTTATATATTCCTTTTAAATGACCATTTCAATGTCAAATATGTGTTTGCTACTATTCCAGTAAGTAGTAATAAATGTCTTAAAATTGTTTATATTAAATTTTAACATGTAATGATGTCTTTCCAAGGAAAAGCAATTTTCATAAAAATATACTTTCTATGACGAATAAAGAATTATTAGTATCGGTATGATTTGAAATTTTATTTGATTTGATACATTTATTTCAAATTCTAATTGTGGTCAAATTAATTTGAGGCCAATCCAGCATTTGAAAATTCTGTTGTAGTTATGGACAATTTGATTCATAGGTAATTGACATAGTAAGCGATCCCATTCTAGCAGCGGTCACATAACTTCAGTTGGGGCATAGAATGTAGTATGTTGTAAATAAATTTGAGAAAAAATATGGTTTGAAAACAATGACCCAATTATACAGGTAGTGTGCAAAGCAAAAGACTGAGCAAAGCAAATGACAAAGAAAAGCTGTATGTTTAAAAATAGTTTTTTATAATTCATAGTGTCCTGTGTTGCACTTTAGGCTCTGGAATTCATGTAATGCTTTGTAATACTAGAGCTCAAGTCTAGAATCATTGTGGGTCAATCGCAGTGGCCGAATCAAGATTTTGTGCCAGGTTGTGGAATGTTAAGCAAAACATTTTAAAAATTGCTTAGATATTGAACTTAGGAATATTTCCAAGTGTTTTAGTGTAATTTTAACAGCCATTTCAACCAACCTCACCCACGTTAGTTAACATCCACTGTACGGGTGCAGTAACACTGCGAAAAAGCACATTTTTATGTGTTGCCATTTCACTAACTTTGTTCTTTTACAAGCAGCAACAAATACAATTTATGTGATGAGATCGTGGAGATATTTGTTTGGTACACACGGTACACACTATGAGTTTACAACTGGTACTATTCCTATAGAATTAAAGCAATAGAAAAAACAGTGTCTTCTACAATTACATCAAATTGGTCACATACTGTAGTAGAAGGTCAACACAACCCCTTCAATAAGTTTTTGTTACATCATATCTTTACCATTTATATATAAATTTCTTTACTTCTTTATCTTAAAGGAAATTGGAAGTGTGGTCAGTGTAAACAGTGTAATTGGAATCGAACAGATGCAACGCCATCGTCAACAACCGTAGCTCAACGTAGGAATATCAAACTAAAACAAGCTCATAAAATTAAAAAGCAAGCTCATAAGATCAAATTAATTGCTTTGCAAAAGCAAGTTACAAGGTAAATACCGTGCGCTTATTCAACTGTGAAAAAACACAAAGACCTGGTAAAAGTTATTAAGGCTCAAAATCACCATAGGAAATAAATTCATTCTGGATTCAGTAAATTATTTGTTCAGAATGATAACACAAAATAATCAATTTCTATAATTGTTCTTATTAATATTGTTAAATGTATTTTATTTCATGATTTATTAAAATAATTTCTTTATCCTTTGTTGAATTTTATTATATACATTTTTAATCTTTGTAATATTCAAATAGCACAATTATTACGGTAAGGGCCTTTGATTGTAGAACATTCCCAGATTAGTTCGACACAATCTTTGCAAAAATATGAATTTGAAGTTGATATTATTAACCAGTGTATTTATGCTTTATTTTCAAAGAACCTGCCCATATCCAGGCTGTGATGGTTCTGGTCATATTAATATTAAATTCAAGAAACACTCCAGGTAATATGTTTATTTTTTACATTTTAACCTAAAAAAAGTATTATTAAAAATGCTACTGCTCTTGCATTTTAACTAAATGCAATTTACAGTAGCAAATTCAGATTCACTGGTTCATAATGATGATGAGCTAGAGGATGGTGACGGTGAGGATAATCGTGATGATAATGATAACAATGGTCACAGCTGCGAGGGACGGGTATCGTCATCCTGTGGTGAATGTGTAGGAGATACGTAGTCATTATTAACATGAGGGATGTTTATTAATCCGCAACTCATTGCTTTCCCATCGAGTTATATTAATTTATATAGCTTTAGAATGACTGAACATTCGTTGACTTGAGTGTATGTAGGCAGTAATCAAAGACAGCAAGGCTTGTAATATGTGTGTTTTGGCAACTTTCCTTGTTTTTCCGCAATGATGAGCTAGATGATGGTGACAGTGAGGATAATTGTGATAATAATAACAACAATGGTCACAGCTCCAGGGACAGTTGGCAGTGTTGTGGTGGCAATGGCATAGTAACAATTTACAATCTGATTGCAGGAGTGTTTATAACAAAGTGCTTATTTAATCTTTCCTTACAGGTTATTCAATTGTCCCCGGTGTCCCCCAGAAGAGAGACCACTTAGAAAACATAAAACTTCAAAAACTGTATCCAATGGTACACCAAGTGTCCAAAATAGAAAGTCATTACATCACTCAGACTCAGAAAATGAGGGTAGTGTATTTACAGACAATATATTTGACAGATCAGCACAACCAAAAGGACTGATCGATGGATTATCACAATTTTTTACGCCATCAAACCAAAGAAAATCGCGTAGCTCATCTTTGTCGATGCTCGGATTCATCCCAATTAAGAGTACGACTAAACCAAAAAAGACTTTGCTCCGACAAACTAGCGAAGATCTCCCGTCAACAACCACCAAAATTAAATCCAAAATTCCCATTCAACCGGTTCGCCTTCAACCATCGACGAATGGCAATGACGATACTCGTTCACATTCCAATTCATCCTCCCCTCACTCGGAAATCCGCAACCTTGGATCATCCCAGTTAAAAGGACTCTTTGATGGACTATCTCATCTATATGCAACGTCTGAACCCAGGAAGCGTAGACTCTACGGGTTACCACCAGTTTATGCGCCGCCCAAAAGACTCAAGAAAGATGGTAGTATTCTCATTTTTGACGAAATTGCCGATGCAGTGGTTGATGGCAGTTGCCATAGTGACAAAAATGAAACTGATGAGCAGAAAAAGAGTTGTTTGATGCAGATGCCTTTGACGCCATTAGGCATCAGGACGTTAAAAAAGAAAAGAAAAATAAAACCAGTTGAACCGGAATCAACGTTAGAAAGCAACTCGAAAGAAGACACGGACTCAAAAAGCATTGAACAAGAAGATGGTAAGTAATACAACATAGTTGTTAAACAAAAAAATTTTTTGAGTTAATTTTGCCTGAAATAGTTTATAACAGCATTGATGTTAAAAAGCTACGCACTGCTTCATAGCTTGTGGAAGCGGTTTGGCATAGAGAGAACAGTTGGGTTTTTATAATTATTATAATAATAATTCTTTATTGGTCCTCATTCTAATATGAAATTGGACTGGGGTGTTCAGCACAAGAAGCAGGAACAATACCTGTCAGCGATCCGTTCAGTTTCTATCTCTTTCAGAGGCACTTTTTCTGGAACATTGCTTATTGCCACCCAGGTCTATAAATGGGTGCCAGGGAGGGGAGTCGGGTTGCCTGCTCCTGCTCTGATTTTAGCTGCACCTTAAGCATGTGGACACAATGACTGAGAAAAGAGCACTTCATATTTGAAAATAAAGGTGTTATAAAATAAACAAATATAAATAAATATAATTTTGTACAGTTAAGAGATGTTCACTTTCATTAAATATTGTTGTGATGTCACTTGGTAAAATTAATCTACTTATTTTTATGCTCTACCTTTAATTCAATATAAAAAAGTTAATAAATATATTTTATCATTAAATAATCAAACTAAAAACAGAAAATTTTAAGGCAGACCTATACTGCCCTGATTTGGAAAAAGGCATTATCTCCAAAATCCTAGTTTTGAGATATTGAGCAAAATGCATTTCACGGTTTGGAGATAATGCTTAAATATTATATTAATTTCATATTTTTGGACATTTTTTGTCGCATTATGATCAATTCACAGGATAGATTACATCCATAAGATACCCTAGAACCAAAAATCTCAAAAAGTGGAGTTAATGCCTTTTTCCAAATCACTGCATTATAATGTTGATAGTAAATGAATTAGGTCATATCAGATACATTTAAAATTTGAGACAGATAAATAATAATAAAAAAAATACACGTCAGGATTTTACCTTCTGTGCTTCAGATGACGTAACTGTTGATGATATATATATATTTCAATGACCTTCAAATATGCCAGCTATCAATTTTGCTATTGTGGTGATGTCAGCAATTTAGACTTGCATATTTTAATGATGTTTCGTAGAATATGTGTACTTTGAATGGTATCGTCATCCTGTGCTGATTGTGTAGGAGATACGTAGTCATTATTGGCATGGGGGATGTTTATTAATCCGTAACTCATTGCTTTCCCATCGAGTTATATTAATTTATATAGCTTTAGAATGACTGAACAGTCGTTGACTTGAGTATATGTAGGCGGTAATCAGAGACAGGGTAGCAAGGCTTGTAATATCTGTGTTTTGGCAACTTTCCTTGTTTTTCTGCAACGTTGTGTGAATTTTAAACTAAGGAAGGTGGACATCCGTTTCTTGGGCTGTTGAGAATTACAGTTAAAGTGGAATTTTCACATGTTGATGTCATCATCAATACACTATGTGCATGATTGTCATATAAATTTCAGAGAATCCCGCTTTAATTTTTCCTCATCTTTTTCTGTAAAATGAAAAAAAAAAAAATTCACCATTCAGAATTAGTGGAATTTTTAAAGTTTTTTGAAGAACAACGGTGGTAATAGTTGGGGTAGTTAAGATCTGAACTTTGACATCGCGGGTTTAAACCTCTTGCAGTACTTTTCACTTGTGTCACTTTGTTTGCTTTTTTGTCTCTGAAACCAGGAGTATACATGTAAATGGGTACCTAGTAAACTAAATTTCATAGAAAGCAGAAAACTTTCTGCTTTGCCACACTGTAAATCCAATGACAAATGGGAATAATTGCATCCTGAGTGATTATTGTTTTCATGTCAAAAAAAAAAAAAAAAATTTAAATACAAAAAAATTATATAAGAGCTTCAACCTAATCCATACATTTATCCAACATTTTCAATTGTGATAGTTTTTTTTTTTTTAATTTGACTATAATTCCAGATTACGATCATTTGTATTATAACAAGTAATTATTGTCACCTTTGGGCAAACAGTAATTACAGTTCCTGAAGCTACTGTACTTTTGAGAAAAACACTTTATTATCAATATCAGATCCCAAGTATATTGAAATTAATACCGCACAGTGCTTAGCAATAACTAAACTAATTACAGCCTAGCAACGTATATTCATTAGTCGCATTGTAAGGTCAATATTTATAATAGAAAATGTCAGGCTGATGTTACCTGCAGTAGAATGTTTTGTTTTCATTTATCAATACATTTTATATGCTCGTAAGTACATGATCATATTAAAATGTCATTGACCCTGCTTTATTACTTTACTTTAGATCAATAATATTGATGTCATATACAATCATACATGTAAATGCTGATTACTACTTATTTTTTATTGTGGCGTCTAGCTTGCAATCGAAAAGTCATGATTTCGAGACAAACTCTGGTCACTTCGCTTGTGTCCTAAGGCAAGACACTTTATGTACATTTGCCTCTCTTCACCTAGTAGTATATATGGGTACTTAGTAGGAGGTGAATGTTCTAAAAAGAAATTAATGTACAGTAGCTGTAGTATTGAATTGCATGCATAACTAGGAATATTTCCCATGGAACAGAGTAATGTTGCACATGTTGTATGATTGATTTTGTGTAAAATGGCCAGGGAGAAAAAGCCCTTTGAGCAATTCTTTCTGAAATGGATGTTAACATTATAAATCTTATAAAAAAAACAAAGGATAATCATAATGTGAAGATTTAAATCTATAATACTATCTTTTAACTTAAGAATCTCCGAGACATGGATTGCATTTTATGAACATTTTTATTGCAATCTTTTGTAACTACCTAAACTTTTAAGATTGCCTTTATTAAAAACCTTTAAAAACATAAAAATGTGAACCAAGAAATGAGCCAAGAAAGAAACTGGTTTGGGGCAATTCCATGGTCACAGACCGACTTTTTAAGGCATTCATAATGGTAAAAAACTGTTCAAATATTACAGATAAACCAGTAAATCTGAAATTCCAAGTAAATTTTATACTCCTTTCCACACACTTTTAATTGACAATATTACAAAAATCAAAACATAAAGTCATTTATGAAATATTGATATTAATATGTTTGGTCACAGACCGACTTAAAAAAAAAGAGAAAATTTTACAAATATAAACTTTGTGCAATTCTATTGAAAATATTATGAAAAGATTTATGGTAACACATCCTGTATGTAAAATCATATATAAGGAATTAGTATCAACAGAGAAGGTGATGTAAAACTACATCATGGGGATGGCAGGGTAGATGGAACCACCTTGGGTCTGGTCACAGACCGACCTATCGCTTTGCATGATAGTATATGATGGAATCTGGCACATAAAAAGGAGAAAACACTTTATATATAAAATTCACTACTAAAAACTTGTTACCAAACATTATATATAAAAAAGCATAACTTAATTACTTATAGTAAACAAAAATTTATTTTGTAATAAAATCAGATTATTTAACATATTAAGAATGGTATTATTTACCTAATAAACGTCACAGAAAATAGTCTTAAGCAAAATCATGATTGCTTGGATGTTAATTAATCTGACCCAGTTAATAAATATTCTAGTACTTAATGAAAAAAGGCATATTAAACCAAGAAAATTATGAAATGCATTTTATGCATTATGGGTATCTGGAAGTGTTTTCACATCCTCCCAGCGACCATCAAACATGCTCCATTTTCCATCCATGGTTGCATTTGAAATGAATAGCATGGTTTTTTTTCTTTAGATGTTAATGGCAATGGTGGTGCCAGATGTTTGCCAACAAGGGGTCCGACGTGTCTGATGAAGCCCGGGGTCCGAACCAAAGCGACGACAAAGCCTCGGTCAGTAGCCCCGAAACAAAAAAATCTCTGTTAGGGTTCTTGAAGGGAGTTTTTATGGCTTAATTTAACCCTGAATGTGTTTTTAGACCACAATATTAGGGACTTTGCAATCAAGATATCGTTATTTGGATTGGAAAATTATTATTTTTAAACATTTTTGGTCCAACGACCTGGTCGTTCGTCGAAAGACAGGGGGTCCCTGCCTTCCGACAAAGAAAATTCCCGTCCCCTTCCCCCCACCCCACTGACACCTCCGCTGGTTAATGGCATAGTGAACAGTAACTATACAGTATTTGAATGTTGAAATCAAGATCTATACTGAATGATAAACTACTGCTTTATGTATTTGAAAGATTTTACCCACTCAGCTTCCAACTACTTAGTCACATGGTTTAATATACCCTATTTGGTGGTCTATTATGAAGCAAATCATTGTTATTTTCAAATAAACCACTATATGTCCTTAGAACCTTTCCCAGGCCCATGTCTTTTGTAATTTTAATTTTGTTTATTGAATATAACCAACTTTACAGTAAAAAGTTTGCTTAAAGATTATTGTAATATCATTGGTCACAGACCGACAAGTCGGTCTGTGACTAATTTGGTCACAGACCGACTAAAATTAATGTAATAAAAATATGAATAAATAAGTACAAAAATTTAAATAATCTTGTCAGTGAATGTTAGCCTAATAGCTCCAATAGTTTTATGAATTTCACAATGGTTAAAAGCTGCATGACTTAATAAACCTAAAAAATGTTGTTTTTTGGGTCACAGACCGACAAAAATATTAAGAAATATTTTTGCCCCGCCTTAATATTTTGTTGTAAATGAATATTAGTTTTTGTCACAAAAACTAATAAAATATGTTAAGTTCTCAAATTTAAAAAAAGTCATGGAATTGCCCTTTAACTAATAAATCAACATTTAATGTTCATTCTACTTCAAGAATTAATATTTACGATCAGATTCAGAGAGGCTCAGTCAAGTATTTTCATTAAAAATATATATACTATATTTATTCGAATAATCGCCTACTTGAATGAATGATCCATCTAAAGTACCATCTGGAATAAACGCCTTCCTCGAATATGCACCCCTAGGCAATTTTTTTCTTTGAATAAACACCCCCCTAAATAACTGAACAAATTTAGTAGAATCAACATCATTC